CCCCCCCCCTAGGCATAGCTACCAGGTAACTCGGGAGAGTGGAAGACCAAAGTGTCGATGAAGCTCTTTTGCTCTGGGCCTAGCGGAACCCCCAGACTCCATCTTGTGAACTCTCACTTACTTCTGTGTGTAATGCTTACAGGCTACAGCAAAAATGTATTGGTCAGCGTTTTTAGCAGATGGCTTCAGTTTCACTCACACTAGCAGAAATAATAGAGATAAGAAAGAGGAATAGTTAGTTTTGCAGATGTCTAACTCAAGGCCGCAGAGACTGGGAAAGTTTTCTCACAGGCGTATGGGAACTTTTCTAATTGTAACGGCTAGAGAAGGGAGGGGTGGGAGGAATACTAGGGAGTTAACAGACAGAGGCTTACATAGAAACTGCTTGAAGTATAAAAAGGTAAAAGTTATTTGTATTTGTTGCACTGGATTTGAGACATGCTGGTCTCCTAGTGTCATTTCAGAGCTCTGGAATAAACTTGGCTTGCTTTCTCCCCTCGGTGTCTTTATTGGTGCTAAGCACACCGGGCCAACGGACCCTTTGAAGTCCGCCTCGAGCCCCTCAGGCGGTGACAGATCCATGAGAGGGTCACCTTTTTACAATAGCTCAGCAGATGAAAATGATAGAAAAACACTGGTCTAGAAATATGTAGGTACTTCTATGACCCAAATCACTGTATTTTCTGAGTGTGTCCTTAAAAACTCACTTGCAGCCCTCATATCAACAAGTAATGGAAAATTAGTAAATCATATATGAAAGTATTTGGAACAAAGCAGCTTACCGTTGCAGCCACCCACATGATTTCTACATTCTTTCTTTTTTTAGCCTGGATATTTTGATGGAGATTTTCTAGTAATCCCTTTAGGTCATTCTGTTCTTGAAAATGTGGTAGGCCTGAAAAGAAATAAACAGTTAGTGATAATGGTTATGTTGACTTAAAGATTTCCTCACTAAAGAAAAGCTCCAACCTTTAGGGTATGTCTTCACTACCGGCCGGATCGGCGAGCAGCGATCGATCCTGCGGGGATCAATTTATCGCGTCTAGTCTAGACACGATAAATTGATCCCCGAGCGCTCTCCCGTCGACTCCTATACTCCAGATCGGCGAGAGGTGCAGGCAGAGTGAACAGGGGAGTGGCAGCAGTCGACTCACTGTGGTGAAGACACCACGGTAAGTCGATCTAAGTACATCAACTTCAGCTACGTTATTCACATAGCTGAAGTTGTGTAACTTAGATGGATCTCTCCCCCCCCAGTGTAGACCAGGCCTTAGAGTCTCATTTTGGGTTCATGAGGATTTTGATAGAAAGTAGCAACTAACTATTTAATGAATAAGAAAAAAAATATTTTCACTGTAAACAGAGGGCTTTACTTTCTATAGGTCATATTCTGAGAGCTGCTGAAAGTCCTCAACTTCCATCTTACCAATTACTCAGCACCTTGCAGGATTTGGCCTTAGTTCTAGATTCTAGTTGTCAGTTTAAAATAGAACATAGAAAGAACATAGAAAGGCTCTGGAAGTGAATGGAGAACTGTCTGAGAGGGTCTGGTTGTGTATTCCTTGTGCATCCGGATTTCCCACTGAAGACAAGTCAATGGGAAATATAAGTGACTAAGTAATCCAGGACAAGACACTTTAATTTATTCTAGGGCTTCATGGGCACAGACATAGCACATTACTTTTTTCATGTTACCTCTTTCCAAATTAGTAGTGAAAATTATTAGAGACAAGTGGTGTCATTTTTTCTGGATTACTTCTTACAGACATGAACTAAAAGTGATTTATCAACTGTTAACATTTTAAAAAACATAACAATATCTTAGACCCACAGGAAGTAGTATGAAAACAATTCTATCCAGGTGCCTTTCTTTCCTTCAAATTGGCAAATTGAGTAATTTTGCCTCAGTAAAACCAGGCAGAGGGATCCCCCCACTACTAAAACTAAATCCTTCTGAAATACAGAGATCCAAGATTTACTTCCAAATCAGACAGTGAAAACTAAAAAGAATATTACAATGCAGATCAAATAGTCATTCCCCTAACCTGATCACAGGCAGAATGATATCTGTTTGATCTACAGACTTTTATTTTCTATCTCTAATGAAGGTGATAGTTTCTCTCACTCATGATATGTAGTTGAGAAGTAATTTTAAAAATACATAAAAAGAAATATGTTAAAAAGCTCTCTGAATTGCCCGACCCACATGCAATATTGCACTACAAAAAGAACACAGAAGAAATAATAGAGAACACTTTAAAAGCTGGCTTTGTAATTCATTTTTGTAATTGTTTTATTGAAGATTATCTTATCTGCCTATATAAATATATATTATCTTATCTGCACATTGTGTCTACTTTTTAAAAAACACACAGCATACATATAATGAATATGCAGAAAGGAGTTTCTAGATATTTTGAAACTTTATCATATTATCATTAAGAAAATATATAAGTGCATCATAATATGGTCTTTCCCAAATACATCCTAGCAAATCCTTAATTTTGGGCAGACATGCATTTTACCATGGTTACAGGAATATTCTTTTAATAAACTGTATTGCTAAAATAACTCATGCCTTGGCTGGATGTGAAAGACTGTTCAAATCCTTAAATCATATAACAGTATTAAACTGCCAAATTATTTTTGTGGATTATAAAGAAATATGTCCTAGAATTACTGTATCCTATCAAAGGGGTTGTACTTTGGAACATGCATGCTCTGCACACATAATATGGCACCAAAGCAGAGGTTCTTGATTTTCATATGGCTCCAGAGTGCTTTGCATGCAGCTCTCTTCTCAGGCTGGAGCATATCATCCCACAGCATCCTGACATGGATGTGGCTATTGCCCACATATCAAAGTGGCAATTTAAAACAACAGAGGCCCAGCTTAATCTACATTTATGCTAGTAGCCTCTTGGGGTGAGTCCTAAACAATCATTCTTACCACATATGGTTACCTTTGTGTATGTTTTATTAAATTTACTTTTCAATAAGCAGGCTACATTTTCGTATCCTTCATATGTTCAGCTCTTCTGGGATATTGTAAAAGTGGTACTGTATTTTGGATGAATCGGGAGGGTTATATAGAACTTTATTTGTATGCATTTTCAGTAGGAAACTATCCCAAAACACTTCACTATTATGTATGGTTTAATAGGAGTAGAGAGTCAAAGGGAATGAGAAATGAAGATGAATGGGCAAGTGAAAACTGTTTTCATCTGTGGTTTGAAAGAAGATGGAAAGTCAATGAAGCAAAGAGGTACAGAATGGCTGCTCCAGATGGCAAGAACTATGGAGGAAGAAGTTTGCTAACCAAAGATGGTGAGAAAGCAGAGAGGCACACAGAGGAGGCCAGATGAGCAGAGAGAGGGGGGACAAGAGAGAGACTAATAATGTGTGCTACAGTAGCTGCATAGAAAACTTTGTTCTTTTTCTTTTTAAAAAGCAGTTTGAAAGGAATCCAGAAATGAAAGGGTCATCAGCTTGGTAAAAATGTCTATGTCCAGTTACAAATTCCATTTGGTTTTAAGAACATTGCAACTATCACTGTAAGTTAGACTATCCACTTTGTAGCAGGCACTTGGCACACAGGAAGAAAACTCAGCCTGGAAAGGTCTGACAAATCAAGGGACAATCAGTAGAGAATGGCTCTCACCTGCTTGAACAATGGGCTCCTGCCAGCAGGGACTTCGCCTTTGAATGGGCTCTCTCTTCACAGAAACCTGTTTCAGGGAAAAGGGGGTGGGAACCCGTGGGGAGTGTGCCTTAGTGGCCCAGTGGTAGGAACAGTGATCAGTTACAACTCAGTCCAGGATGATTAGCAGCAGGTGGGATTCAGTGCTTAGATCCTCTCACAGCAGAGTGCTACCTCTTCAGAGAGCAGGACTGGGCCAGGCCTTGACAGTGTAATGTGGGTCTTTGTACAGCATGTTTAAAACGGTGGAGTCTGAAGAGCTGGGATTTGGGGAGGCCACAGGGAAATCCAATAGTGAAGACAAGAGGAGCATTATTAGTATAACAGACTGGGACTCAAATCAATGGCATACCTGGGCAATTTTGCAGAGGTGGAGATGGGCAGATTTGCACATAAATGAGGTGTGGAAGAATAGATAATGGTCAATGGTAAGCTCCACTTAGTCAAGAGAGGGATGTCTGTCTGTAAGACATTTAACTGAAGGCACTTGAAATGAAGCAGAAAATTTACTTTAGGCTTATCTTCATGGTGAGTTGCATCACAGCAAGCCAGGATGTGAATCTACAGTGCATCAGCTTGCGATGCAGTAACTCACCATGTGGACACTGCTACAGTGCAACCAGGGCCGGCTCCAGGCACCAGCTGAGCAAGCTGGTGCTTGGGGTGGCAGATTGTTGGAGGCGGCATTCTGCCCAATCCTAGGGCGGCACAGCCGCTTTTTTTTTTTTTTGTTCATGTTCCGCTCCGGCTGCCCTGTAGGGGGCAGCGGCGCGGAGAACCAGAGCGCCCTGCAGGGCAGTCCTCTTCCTTCCCTCCCCTCCGGAGCGGAGACCTCGCGGTAGGCGGCAGGAGGCGGCGCAGCGGGAGGGGCCGCGTGGCAGCGCCCCTGCTGTAGCCCTGGCCGCCCCCTTG